TACGAAAACAACAAAATGTCTCCTAATATCATTTCCTGTCTGTTTCTTCGTATTGATTTGGGGACAGTTTCTTCAGCGGTAGGGTCAACCATGAGAGGTCTGACCTCATTATAAGCCAGAAAAACTAAAAGATCAGGTTGGAAAGGAAACAATCAATACCCAAAATTGATTTTTTAAAATCAAAAGATGCAAGATGTTAATGAAAAGGTAAGTTTATAACTACATGCAATGACATCTCCTTATGTCAGCCTAAGAAGAAAATTATCTGGTGTAAAAGCAAACCAATATAGTTGAGATAACGCAGCAGAAAATTTGAGGCAGCAAGGACACAGTTAAGTTCTTTAGAGCACATTCATTTATTAAAGTGGCATTACAATCTGCTGTGTGTCACACAGTGTATTATTTTACCCAAACAGCTTTACATGCAAATACTTATTGCAGCGAGCCATTGATCTGGTTCAAGGTTTAGCAAAAAAATTATATTTTTTATGAAAAAAAGTTTCAGTAAAGTCTTTAGAGGAACCCACCTTCTTACAGTATAAAATGTATTCTCAAAACTATTTTTATGACAAAATTGAGTTCCTATATACAGAAATCCTAGGGCTCTCAGTTCATCAAATACACTGCCCTATATTCACACATACGAATAGCCTAGGGCTGGTATGACTAAGAGTCCTGTGAGAAAGAAGGCTTTGTAATAAATACTTAAAATTCAACTCACATTTAATATATAATTTACTTCATACTGAAAAATGTAAAAAAGGCGAGTGACACTTTTATCAATACATTTTTGTAGGCTTCAAAAATTATTTCATAACACATCTAAATTTTAAATCATAAGAAATCTATTATTGAGTACTAACTAAAACCCCTAAATGAGACAAACTCAGAACAGAACATAAATTTTCAGGCTTCCTGCTTTTATAAATCAATTTTTTTAATTCTAAGAAGAATAAATCTTTGTTAATTTACACGTAGTCGAATTGCATTCTTAACCTAAAGCAAGATCATTTCAAAATAGCATGCTAAATCTTAATTCTTTTTAGGGTTAGGTTGGAATGGGTGAGAGAAACCATGTACTCAAAGAACCTGTCCTATGACCCTTGTTGAGTCCTTTTCACATCATGGTGCAGACAGAAAATAAAAAGCACTGGTGTATTCTAGATCAGAGCTATGCAACACAACTGTCTGCAATAACAGAAATGCCCTATATCTGCACTGTCCAATATGGTAGTCACAAGCCACATGCGGTTACTGAGCATAAAGTGTGATGAGTGCAACTTAGGAGCTGAAGTTTTCATCTGATCATTGACTTAATTTTCACTTAACTTTTAAGAGCCACATGTGACTAGTGGCTTCCATTTGGAGAGTGTAGTTCTAGCCTGACCACTAAAACACAAGATGGCATACTTTTTTTTTTTTGAGATGGAGTCTCACTCTGTTGCCCAGGCTGAAGTGCAACGGAGCAATCTCGGCTCACTGCAACCTACACCTCCCAGATTCAATCGATTCTCATGCCTGTCTCCCGAGTAGCTGGGATTACAGGCATGTGCCACCACGCCCAGCTATTTTTTGTATTTTTAGTAGAGATAGGGATTCACCATGTTAGGCAGGCTGGTCCCAAACTCCTGACCTCAGGTGATCCGCCCACTTCGACCTCCCAAAGTGATGGGATTACAGGCATGAGCCACCAAACCCAGCCCACAAGATGGCATTCTAAGAGCTTTCAGTGCCCAGGCTGGTCACAGCTGGTCATGGACCACAGAATTCATCAGTCATTTCAAATGGGGAGTGAGAAGGGATGGGTCCCTCAGCAAAGCCAGAGCTCTTCACATCGGTGTCATGCTATTCGGGCCAGACACACCACAGAACTCACAGAAAACCTCCTGACCCATCCCCACTCTCTCAAAGTGTCAAAACAACCCAAGAAAGAAAACATTTTCTCTCCTTCCACTCACTATTTGAGAGTCAATATGGGAAAAATTGAGAACAACCAACAATCACTTATAGACAACAGGTTCTTTCCTTAATTCAAGCAGAACATCACTAAAAAGCAGCTCCTTTGTTCCAACTAGTTTCTGTCATATCCTTTCTAAAGCAAGATGTCATTCAAATTAAAATAAGACAAAGTAGTTAACAGCATTTGCTCTGGAGTCAGACAAACTTGAATGTAACTCTCTTCTCCTTTGCTCACCAGCTGTGTGACTTTGGGCAAAATAATTAATCACTTCAAGTGTCAGTTTCCTTCTATGTAAAATGGGTTATCACAGGTCCTTCTTCCTAAAGTTATAACGATGAAATGAGATAAGACATACACAGGATTTAGAAGAGTACCTACCACGTAATAAATTTTGTTTAAGTGTCATCTGTCATTACTTCAGTATATTGAATGAATCATCATCATCATCACCCTCACTCCTTAATATAGGAGGTAGGAAAAAAAATCTACCTACAACGAATCATACTTTAGAACAAATTCCGATTTTAAATGTATCCATACATCATCATTCTTTTTTTAACACCAACAAAATGTTTTAATTAAACTACAGAAACAATGGGTATAGCATAGAATATTCATAAGCAAAAAGATACACCATGTCATAAGTACTTACAAAGTTACAAACCATTTGCTTCCTTAACATTTTCCGTATTTTAAGTTCATACATGTAGATATGAACAGATTCACCATTTTGAGGAAGGGGAGGAAGCAAGGGTACATTTATCGTCAGCGAGATGTGCTCACTGTACGCAATGGTATTTATATGCAAGGCCCGAGTGACCGGAAGTGCAGTTGTTGGGCATTTTAATAAACTGGACAGCCATTTGTTTCTGCACGACAAGGCATCTTCTTAAGCCAAAATATTTGATAAACTTAATTTCAGTATCTCCTAGGTTTCTTTTATACTATGTTTCTACCTCCCTTATAGTCTTGTTATATATGTAGTTTATCTGCCAAAAAAAGAACTTTTTCCTATTTTTGCATCTTTTCAAAATACCTGGCTTACTTATTTGCATAACAGAAACATTCAATAAATGTCACCTGAATTAAATGTATAGAACTCTCCAAAATGAACAAAAGTAGCTACTTTTAAAATGGATAATGCCCTTAAATTAATTCAACAAACAATAAGCACTTACCAAGAAGCAGGTACACTATCCTAGGAGCTGAGAATTCAGCTGTGAACAAACAGATAGATGAGGAACAAGTTCCCTGGAGCTTATCTTCTAGTGAAGATAGCAGTCACAGTGAATAAGTAGAGGAAGGGTGATAGGAGATGATGAATAATGTGATGATGTTGGAAGGCAGACAGGGACCAGTCATGATATATGATGGAAGCCCAGGGAAGCAGCTCAGACTATATTCTACGTACCATGGAGAGCCACCTCTGGGACACAACTTGACCTGATTTGCTTTTCTTCAATAGATTGTAAGGACTTCTGGGTGCACAGCACAGGGCGGAGGAGTGGAAGCAGGGGGCCAGTTAAGAGACTTCTGCAGAAGACAGTGGTTATCTATCTGGATTGGAGCTATAGCAGAGGAGATGGATGCAAAAGGAACATATTTAGACACGTTTTAGAGATGGAGTTGACAAGACTAGCTAACAGTCTGATGTAAGGAGTAAGGAAAAAAGAAAACAAGGATGAATCCCCAAGAAGGGGCTTGACTACCTGTGCCATCTACTGGGAAAGACAGAGAAGAAAAGCAAGTCTGGGGGTGAAAATAAAGGTTGATTTTGGATATGTTAAGTTGAGAAATCGGTAAGGGGAGATTTCAAGTAGGCAGTTGTCTATTATAATGTCTGGAATTTCAGAGAAAGGTCAGGGCTAGAGATATAATTTTGGGAGTCACAGGCATCTAGACAAAGATTTCAAAACCGTACATTGGGACAAGATTACTTAGTAGAAATCAGCAAAGAACCCTGGACTGAGGATTGCAAGTAGGGTGGAAGGAAAACCAAGAGTGTGGTCCAGAAGCCAAAAAAAGGGTTTCTAACAAGGAAGGCAGGCTCACTTTCTATCTAGCATTAATTAACTGTGAATCCTCAACTCTAGTACTAAACAAGAAGCTTCAAAGGGGTAAGAACTATTTCTTATTCACCTTGGTACCCTCTCCTCTAAACATATCAGAAGCTCAATTCATGTTTACTGACTTAATGATTAGTAAGCAGGCGGTGGGGGGGTCACAATTGGCCCAAGTGAATGTCATTTGGGCAGGATCTCATCTTTCTCAATTTCACAGTCTAGAGACAGATTTCCCCTTTGTGATAAGTACAGGAAAATCTCACTTAATCCAAAATTAATTATCCCAATTATTTTCTTGTTGCCATTTCACAATAAATAGCAGATCTATCCATCAACTGGGCAGTATCAAGAACAGTGCCGGACACATAGCTGGTGCTTAGTAAAATATTGGATAAACAGATGAGTGTGGCAGGAGAGAGAAAAGGGAGAAGAAAGAGCATTAAGTCTCTTATCCAGCAGGACCTACAGATAAAATTAGGCTTAATAATTCTTTATGGATTCCATTTGCCACCATATTTCCATCAATAACTAAGACTGACTGCAACAAACTAAATCTTTTATAAACTTAGAAGGAATTTATTAGAAAATAAAAACATTTTTGGAATACTTCACAATTTGAAAATAGCAAATCAATATTTTCTAAGTTCAATTTTTTTAATAAATATTTATTCCTAAATCTCTAATATCCCTATAAGCAATCCATTTTATACAAAAAGATATAAAGTAACTTTCCAAAGCCTAGTAGAGGATTCAGGAGTGGGAAGAGAAAACAAAATGTTCGAAGACTGTTTGAAAATAGTTTCATTATTAGAACAAAACATTTTAAAAGAAACCCCAATACTGACTTCTAATATTCCTTATAAAAAGCTAAACATCCAAATAATGAAAGAGAATGCTAGAGAACTTGACTATTGAGTCAACTTTTTCCATTTATAATTTTTCTCCTAAAAACCCTAAAATTTAAAATTTAGCAATACCTGAGGCACCATAAGCACCAGAATACCGCTGAGACTTCGAACCAGATGGAGAGGATTCCTTCATTCGATCAATCACATTTTCCGAAAGCTGGAAAAGCAACATCAAAATAAAATCAATTATAAAAGAGCAAGAATGAAAACCAATGCAATAACATCCAAGTAATTTAGTCATCCATATCCATACATATGACGAATGGCCTAAAGAAACTAGGCTAAATCTAACAGCCATAAAACCAGAAGGAAGAATAATTTTAAGATTTCAAGATGCACCCCACAGCACTGCTCCTTTATTTTCTCTAATGCACTGCTAATTGTTCATTATAAATAACTACACTGTTCATTTTATACTGTGCACGAAATTGTATCTCTGAGGAAATGTATGCTATCTAAACTTCAACTTTCCTCCCCTAATCCTACACACTTATTTATGCATTAATGGGCCTTAGCTCCTTCTCTCCCTCTAGTCCCGAAGGAAAGTGTTCCCTCCCCGTCCCCTCCCTCCCGTTCAAAGCTAACCACATACAATCGCTCTTTAAACAGATTTCATGATGCATCGACTATGTGCCAGAAACTAGGCTAGATTCTGAGTATTCAAAATTATCAAGTGCTTAAAGCATAATAGAATAAACAACCAGCAGGCATTTAAATATAACACGAAGACTGCTACCTGAGTGAGTCAGCATGTAATGGAAGTATACAGAAACCATAATGGACAGCACATGTAGCCAGGCTTTGAAGACAGGGCTGGAGCAGAGGATTAGGGAAGATTTACAAGGTAAGGATGCGTAAAAGTTAGGAAGAGATGCAGTGGGATAAAAGTGCTCCTGGGCGAGAAAAATCACATTAAAGTACAGATGAAAACCAGAATTTGCCACCGTTAGACATACAAGTGGAGATATCAAGTAGGCAGCTGGCAATAGAGCAGAGGCTCTGAGGAACACCCAGGCCTGCGGATTTGAGAGTCATCATTCCCACAGTTACTATCGCGTCATCCTTTTTTATTTTCTGTATAGCACTTACCACTATCTGATATTTGCCTTTCACTAGAAAGAAAGCTCCGTGAAAGCATGGATTTGGCTGTCATATCGCTATATTCCCAGAGCCTCACTAAGCCTAGTTAATTGAATGAATCAATGAAACAATATGAATAAATGGCTGAAGCAAGAAAGTGGAAGGGGGCATAGTGAAAGAGAAGGTGGGGAGGGAAGGTACAGATTCCAGGATTTTGAGGATTCTTAGTGAACTCTTCAGTTGAAACAGTTTGAACTTGATCCTGAGGGTACCTGAGCACTACTGAAGGATTTGAAGCACGGGAATGGCACAATCAGACTAACACTTTAGGAAAATCACTCTGGCTACAGTGTAGAGAACAGATTGGAGGGGGACAAGAACAGAAGCAGGATCCCTGAAGGAGGCTAAAGGACCAATTAAGAAGCTATTAAGCATATGTCCACACAAAGACTTGCACAGGAATGTTCATAGCAGCATTATTCATAAGAGCAAGAGTGGAAATAAACACATGTCTATCTACGGTGAATGGATAAACAAAATCTTACATATCCATACAACAGAACACAACTCAGCAGTAAAGAGCAGTGAAGTTCTGACATATGCTACAGCACAGATAGACCCAAAAATCATTAAACTAAGTGAAAGAAGCAAACACAAGGGCCTACATTGAATGATTCTATTTATATGAAATACATGAAACACCCAGAAAAAGCATCCCTATAGAGGAGATAAGTAGTTGCCTAGAGCTGGGGTGGGAATAGGGATTAACTGTAAATGGGCACAAGAGATCTTATTGGGATGATAAAAATATTCTAAAATTGGCTTGTAGTGATGTTTGCACAACTCAGTAAATTTATCAAGTGTTGAATTGCTACTTGGGAGGCTGAGGAGGGAGGATCGCTTGAGCCCAGGAGGTCAAGGCTGCAATGAGCTGTGATCATGACACTCACTGTGCTCCAGCTTGGGCAACAGAGCAAGATCCTATCTAGAAAAAAAAAAAAAAAAGTGTTGGAATGTAAACTTAAAATAGGTGAATTTCATGGCATGTAAATTACTCTACAGTAATTTACTTTAATAAGCTTTAAAAAAAAAAAAAAAAAAGCTATTATGGTAATCCAAGGGAGAACACACTTAAAAGGTATTTAGGATTTAAAATACTAACATTCACTGAGTGCTTATTATGTGCCAGGCGCTACACTAAGCTAGGCACTTCACTTACTTACTCCTTCACAGGCCTATGAGATAGATATTTTTATATCTCTATTTTACAGGCAAAAAAACTGAAGCATAGCCAGATTAAATAACCGGCCCTGGATCAGATACTTTATCAGTAGCAGAGGAAGGATTCGAACCCAAAAAGTCTAAGTCTCAAGATCCCACTCAAACATCCCTCAGCATCACTATCCAATCTCCGAGTAGATGTGGGAGTAAAGCAGAAGTCATCAAGGAAGAGCCTAGGATTTCCATTTCAAGTAACTGAGTGATCCTCCTCCTGTATCAAGGGTCTTCTTCCCATTTCTACTTCCTGAACTCACCACTATCTGGTTTTTACCCTCAGTGCAACAGTGAACATCCTCTGGTAGAAGTCACCAATGACCAAATAAATAACTTTTGATATTTACGTAATTAAGTATTTCATATTTATAAAACATCTTATTTATATGGCTTACCTTTAACATCTAACACCTCTGGCCATTCCCCTCTTCTGGAAAGTCCTCCCTTGGCTTTTCTGACATCCTGCTGTCCTGGTTCTCCGACAACTCTGGCCACATCTTATCTCTTTTGCAGCTTCCCCTCTCCTGCCTACACTTCAATGCTGAAGGGCCCAACATTCTGTCTTTTGCCCTTATTCTCTTCTTATTCTATGTGCTCTTGTACTGGTACTCTCATCCAATCTCTTGATTTCTAACTGCTGTTGATAAACTAATAAATTCCATTAATAAATGCATTCGCTCGAGCTTGAGACCTATATCCCAGAAGCCCGGTCTCCACACTGAACTGTCTAATGAAAACTTCCTTCCGGCAATCCAGAAGCACCTCACACCCAGTGTCCAAAATTGAACTCACGTTTGCCACAAATCTCTTCTTTCTCCTGCCTTCCTTACCTCATTAATGACACCACAAACACCCAGCTTCCTAAATTCGAACATAGGGCTTGTTCTCAACTCTTCTTTCTCTCTCATTCTTAGCCATGACTTCATCAACCCCTAAATATTTAATAAATTCCTCTCTTCTCTCATCCCATTTCTCCTGCCCTAATTCCTGCTACCATCCGCCTAAAATGCAAATGTGATAATGGTAACTCTCTACTTCAAATTCTTCAATAGCTACTGTCTGTTTACAGAAAAATTCAAATTCTTTGTACAGCATTCAAGACTTCATCATTTGGTGATGGCCAAACTCTCCAACCTCAAATTCTAGGTTTTTTTCCTTAATATTTCATATCCTGTTCTACACCCATCTCCTTGCCTTTGCACATGCCTACATTGCCTTCTCTCCTGGCCCCTTGGGAGGGAGTCACCTTTCAAGACCCACTCTAAACATCCAAGCCTTCACTGACCAAACCAGTTGTCCACTCCATCCCAACCCTGCCTACCTAAAGCTACCATTCCTTGTACCCACTGTTCCTTTCTCAAACTTCCAATACAGTCTCAATGAAAGAACAGGTATTAGCCTTTCCACATTCAACTTTCTGCCTTTCCACTAGACTGCAAGCTCCTATATACTAAGTCATTCATTCAACAGATGTCTCCCAGGCCAGGTACTAATCAAGGCCCTGTGATACATCAATAAACTAAATAGCCTATACCTGAACTGTTACTTATATCTCAGGGCCCAAACCAGAATGGAAGTGAGATGGAAAACAGAAAGGCTACAGATCAAATGCTGTGCGTGCTCTTTGAAGGAAAAAACTACAACTCCCTTCTGGGAAGACACGAAGACTTTCTATTTGAAAATGCCAGGGCCAGCTGCATCTTTCCAACAACTGACAGCCACTGGGTATGTTGCTGAAACTCATGTGCGAAGCTGAGATACATCCTAGGAAAATCCCTCTAAGACTGACTCAATTTACACTTGAAAAAAAAAAGAGACCCTGAGTAACATTCAGTTACTGGCAGCATCAAGACCAGAAGCAGTAATTCCCAATCTCTAGTCCAATGCTCTACTATTAAATAACATACTCCTTCAATCCCATGCATGTAATAAAAATATATCACTTCCTCTTAAAGAGAAAAAAATGAGCTTTCATTTTTAGAATCTTAAAGCTATTTTAACTGATATATAATATATATAAATCTCAAAAATCAAGTGTTAGCAATAAGCTTTCATCTGAAAAGTTACTATTTTCATCTGAAAAAGTGAAAATATTTATCCCGAGAGATTTTGTGGAGGGATTTTAGTGTTTTGCACCATAAACTATAATTGACTACACAAATATTTGCTACAGCTATTACCCATATAGCTCCAGCCACAGGGACTTTTTATTTCATTTTGGTTCATTCTTATCAACTAGGTCTGAGCTTGTACTGACTCCTCCTCTGTAAGGTGCATGAGGACTAGGCCTACAGCTATTGCAGGCAGCAGCTGCCTAAGTCCTGGTATGGGTGGAGAAGGTGCTCATTTTTCTCTATCTATGTTCTCTGGGTAGTAGAAGTAGAATGTCTCTTTCAACCTAATCACTAATTTCTTGTTAACTTTTTTTTCTTTTTGAGGCTTCTCTGATGTCCCAAGTTGCTACTTAATGTCAAATTCTCACATCAATTCAAAACATTTCCCAGTGGGGTGTTTGGTTATTGTTCAGTCAATTTATAAGCATGCGCCAAAGGAGTATACACTAAACCTACTGTAGGCTTCATAAATATACTGTAGGGTTGCCTTATTGAGAGTCCACCTTTCTCTTGTTCTTACAATCATTCAACAACTGTATCCTTAGGCCCTTCCAAAGCAGCACCCATGGCCATCTACAGTTACACCTCTGCCAGCTCCAAGCACTATTACCCTATTCCCAGTCTGCTCACAGCAATGTAGTCATGAGGCAATAGTCTTGCTGTGTTATCATCTGTATTCAAAGTCAATGCTCTCTGAGCTGACCTTCCCATTGCAGTAGTAAGTTCAGACCTGCACACTCACCTCATCTCCTCTGTGAACAGGGGTACTCACTCGTGAAGCAGCTGACAAGCTTTAGAGATGCTGACCCGGGTTATACACACAATCTGTAGCTGTAGAACAACTCATCTTTGTGATGAAAAATGACCCAAAATGGGGGTCGATGGTACAACATAAGCTTCTGCAATGGCAGCCTCTGTGTAAGAAGTAACTTGCAGTTGGATGCGGTGGCTCACGCCTGTAATCCCAGTACTTTGGGAGGCCGAGGCAGGCAGATCATGAGGTCAGGAGATCGAGGCCATCCTGGCTAACATGGTAAAACTCCGTCTCTACTAAAAATACAAAAAATTAGCCAGGCGTGGTGGCACACGCCTGTAGTCCCAGCTACTTGGGAAGCTGAGGCAGGAAAATCCCTTGAACCCAAGAGGCGGAGGTTGCAGTGAGCCAAGATCGCACCACTGCGCTCCAGCCTGGGCAACAGAGCGAGATTCTGTCTCAAAAAAAAAAAGTATCTTCAGGAAACACATCTTTTCCTGAACAGGGCACTTGTTTTAGAAAAAGCCTTTTCTTATATAATAACCTATACCTATTATACTTGCTTTCCAGACATCTCTGGAATCTGCATCAAGGCAAATACCAAGGGCAATTTACAGAAATTATTTGTAGCAAAGAACAGTGAAATAACATAACCCCCACACACAATGACACTGGGAATTATACCCTGAGGTCCACAGACTGAGTAGGTCCGTGCATCAATTACTCAACTGTATGCAAAATTGTCGGTTTATTGCATGGTTCTGGCCAGAATCCACAGCTCACAGATCCACAGTGCTCTACAAACTAAAAGAACCACCATTCTAATATAAGAGGCAACCAAGAGAAGCACGTCTGCCGATATTCAGCCCACTGAACTTGACTGTCCACCCTATTCTCTACTGCTCCTCAAGACAAATTTAGGCAAACAGAGCTTGCCAAGTTTAAATTTGTAGTACTCACCACACCAACGTGCTCCACAGAGGGGGAAAGGGCAAGTGTCATCTCCTACAGTCTTCCCACTCATCTCTTCCTACCCAACTTGTTTGGCCTTATCCAAAATTCATGCCAGAAACACCACCCACCAATCCAGAAGACAGAATTTTCTCAGAAACAGGAGATTGGGTGAGATGGACAAACAGAAAGTATTTCTACTCCCAGGGAATAGAGTAAAAAAAGAGGAACTCTCCAGTGGCCCTTCTAAGAGGTAAAGTTACGAGCCACATGAGACAAACAAATCAGCTTCCTGCCTCCAGAAGTTTCTCTTATCTTCTTCCAGATATGTCCTAGCAAATTGATTCAAGAACTCAGACCCATTTTTCTCTCTTGATCCTCCTTCCACTTAGCATAAGTCATTTTCTGTATTAGTTTGCTTTACAATTACCTTTTTAAGACATAGGCTCCAAAAACTGCTACTATTATGTGGGAGAAATTACTCCCAAATAGTTACTTAAGGGAAAGGAGGAGAGGGAACCCATACACATGTTCATAGATATATATGAAATATGTAATTCTTAGCTTAGGTTTGTGTTTCTTTACATTTGTCATTAGTAGAAACCATTATCTCTACCTTTATAAAATCCTAGACCACTTAAGATGGTACTCAGCCCAAAAACTTCATAGAATCTAAAGCTGAAAGAAACGAATCATCTACTACTTAACTAAATTATTTATACAATATTCCTCAACACTCCCAATGGCTGACCCAATTTGTAGTCTCTGATAACATACTCTTCAGAATCCTCAATAATACCCCATATTAAGTAATCTCTTCATTTACAGTCTCTCAACTGCCAACACTTCCCAAAGCATGAGTTATGTTCCATATTAAGTATCCATACTGCCATAACTGGCTCCTGTTAATTTCAGCTTGCAACTTTAAGGCCCAGCTGCTGACATTCGTTTATGTCTGGAAAGCATAAATGTATCTTTGAAAATGATACTCACTGAAGTTGACATTTGCTCTAGAAGAGTTCACTCACAGCTTTGATGTTTCAGATAAACTTGCGAAAGATTGAGTTGTAAGCACACTTTCCAAGCAGGCACGGCAGGTGCCCACAAAAATCCTATCAACCACATGTAATATGAGTAATGAAAATGCTTCGTCTTTCCATCTCTAGGAATTTCATTTAGCCTTGGGAAGAGGGCAAGGCAAAAGACTGACCTTTCATCCAATCCATATGAGTAGTTTCAGATTCAAAGTTGGAATCAGGCACAAAAATACAGGTTATTTTTACGGAAGAGGAAAGAAAAGCTATCAGTTGCTAAGGATAAAGGGAAAAAACAAGACCCTACAAATACCATGAAAAATAACACCTGGTAGGTGAGAAGAAACTTTAAACTTAAAATCTGAAGTAGGTCCTTTCATAGATAATTAAGGACCTCAACAATATAGAGAAACACAATCTATTAATAAATTCAGCCAGGTGTAGAGGCTCACAGCTGTAATCCCAGCACTCTGGGAGGCCAAAGTGGGCAGATCACTTGAGGTCAGGAGTTTGAGACCAGCCCGGCCAACATGGTGAAACCCCCCTCTACTAAACATACAAAAAAGTTAGCAGGGCATGGTGGCACATGCCTGTAATCCCGGCTAATCAGGAGGCTGAAGTAGGGGAATCACTTGAACCCAGGAGGCGGAGGTTGCAGTGAGCTGAGATCGTGCCACTGCCCTCCAGCCTGGGCGACAGAGCAAGACTCATCTCAAATAAATAAATATTCAGCATAGTTACCAAAAGCCTTATGTTGTTCACTAAATGTTATTCTTTATACATTAAGGTAAGTGATGACTGAGCCTGGTAGAGTGGCACATGCCTGTAGTCCCAGAGAGTGGGGCAGGAGGATAACTTGAGCCCAGGAGTTGAGACCAGCTTGGGCAACACAGGGAGACTCCAACTCAAAGAAAGCTCATAATTGCCAACATATTTATATTAAGGGAATGAACCCAAGTCATTATATGAAAAAAAAAAAAAATGAAGATGAAATTATAGACGCTCCTTGGTTTACAATGGATTTTGCTGAAGGTAATGCCAGAAGCTGAGTTTACTGAACGCTTGTCACTTCCACACCACTGTCAAAAAATCCTAAGTCGAACCATCCTAATAGGAGACCATCTGTACTATCTTTAACAGTATAACAGAACACAGAATTAGTTTTCCAGTAGTGACTGACTCTGTTGAATTAATAAGCTTGGTAAACGTTCATTTCTTACAACCAATGACAGAAATGCTAGACAACTGGGCAAAGTTGGAAAGTTTTCTTCAGCCAAGTTGAACTAACCCAACTGTAGTTCAAAACTGAAGTTTGGTGCCTCATCGGCACCATGTTCTAACAAACTAAGCTAAAAACAATGACTTATGTACATACTGAGAATGCAGTTTCTTATCCTTCCCCAAGTCTCAGAAGGAAACAATGTGACTGTTTAAAGCCAAGAAAAATATAAAGAAATAAAAACCATCTACAACAGACCTAGACAAAAAAACACCCTCAATTAGGACGTAATGCAAGACTCCCATTTCCCAGTCCATACCCTTTTAGGTACACCTGTTGGGGCACAACATGCTCTTATTTTTATTAAAATTTGAAGTTCACATAAGTTCACGTGTCCATTCTTTTGAACAGCTCTAATAACAGCTACTACTCACAAGTGCAAACACTGTCAAAATACTAGACACTGTGCTAGATACACATTATGTCAAATTCTCAAAGTAGGCTGCTTTATCCAGAAATACTAAATACGGAAACACGATGAAAAGTGACTAGTCCAGAGCCACAGGGCTAGTGAGAGGCAGAGACAGAATCCAACTCAGGTCTGCTTGGTTCCAAGGCACATGCTCTTTCCACTACACGGCACAGCATTTTCAAAGACTCTTATAACTTTGCGTGTGAAAGGAACCCTATCATAATAATGGCTGCCTTTTTAATGAAAACCTACAATGTGCCAGGTGCTTTACATACCTTACCTCATCTTCTTACAACCAGTCAAGGGAAGTGATGGTATTACCCTTTATGCACAAGGAAATAATTCGAGAAGAAGTCAGTTGTCAAAGGCCACAGGCTAATAAATACCTAACCTGCGATTTAAACGGATGTCTGCTTAACTCAAGCCAAGAAAAATACTAAGATCAACT